TTCCTCAGGTGACCTGTCATCAAGAAACCTTGATTCCAGCCAGGAAATGTTTCGATCCGGTTTCCAGATGTGTGCCAAGGAAATGCTGCAATACCTGGCAAAGCACGAGAACGGCAAGGACCTGAAGTCGTCCCAGCTGGTCAGCCATCTGCACCGAATGGCCTCCGAGGTGCTCCAGGGCGGAGCCGGCCGCAAGTCCGGAGACATCCCTCCTAAAATGGTGGACTTGAAAGAGAAACCCGTCTCCTTGACCAAAGCGGCGGAGGGACATGGGAAAAACTGCGTGCCTGTGATCCAGAGGACATTTGCTCACTCCAGCGGGGAGCAGAGCGGCAGCGACACAGACACGGACAGCGGGTACGGGGGAGAGCTGGAGAAAAGTGACTCCAAATCCGAACAGCAGTATTTCAAAAAGGATACTGAACTCAAGTACGCCGTCCAGGAGAGAATAAGCTCTATTAAGCAAGAGACTGAGGACCCGCCGGCCAAAAGGAGCAGGCTGGAGTCGCCGGAGGACGAGGGCCCTTTTGGCAGCGACATGATGGGCTCTTCCAGCAGCTTCCTGGGCCCCCACGCTCACCAGCCTCCCTTGTGCCTGCCTTTCTATTTGATCCCACCATCCGCGACAGCCTATCTGCCCATGCTGGAGAAGTGCTGGTACCCGGCGTCCGTACCTGTCTTGTACCCCAGCCTCCCCCGAAAAACTCCCCCCGCCTCTGCTGATGCCCCAGAGACTCCCTTCTCCCATACCGGCCCATTCTCCTATCGACTCCTCGGCTCTGCTTCAAGCCTTGAAGCAGATTCCCCCTTTGAACTTGGAAACCAAAGACTAAGCGCAGTGTGACTTTTTTCCTTCCCCCCCCCCTTTTTTTTTTGGGTTTTTTTTTTTTAGTTTGAGACTGTTTCACTTCTATGTATTGGCTGGACTGAGGTGTGGGGATAAGGTTCACTGCACGTAGGAAGCTAAATCCCCCTTTCTCTGACTTGTCAGGTAGCTTGGAGAAGGATGAAGGATGCGCCCAGGTTAGCGATTCAGAACTGCTTCCAAAAGAAAAAAAAAATAAAAGGGTTTTGCGCTCTACCCCTTACCTTCTTCCCTCCGCATCTACAGAACAGCAGTTGACCCGGTCAGCTGCGACTATATTGCGAAGCTGTGAAAAAATACTCCATTAGGCAGACTTGGGTTTAGGGTCTGTGAATATAAAAATACGGTACTTCTCATAAGGGCTTTTAAGGCAACGGCCCCACTGCCAGTAGTTTGAGCCGAACTGATTCGGTGCCCCATCCGTCGCCGGTGTCTGAGCGATCGGCGCAGCCACCCCGAGCGCGGTGCGGCGGTGGTGGCAATGCCACCGAAAGCATAGGAGGAGCAGAGCAGCGGTCACTGCTTGGTCATGCACAGTCATGTAGACTTAAGACGGGTTTCTCTCCACACCTTTGCTTATATATATATATTTTTTTTAAGAAATAAAAGGTAGATGCTGCTTGGAAGCTTTACATGGCGTACATCTAATAAATAAATTAACAGGCACCCCTTCCTGTAACTTGAGCTGCTAGTTTGGGCCGGGTAGGGGAGAAAATAGCCCAAGGATCACTTTGCTTGTTGCACCTGACTCCAGGCCTCTCTCTTGCTGCTGCTGTACAGTTTCGCCAGGTCTAGTCTATCGGAAATCGAAATGGTTTTACGAGTCCCGTCAGCGGGGGCCCAGCCGGTGAGCAGCCGCTTCCCGACCGGGGCGACTGGAGAGCTTCATTGCAAGAGGGAGCAATTCGGCCGCAGTCGGCAGCACGATGCCCGCTGAATGTTGCCCCCGTGAGTGCCTTTGAAAAATTAAAAGGCTGGGATTTTCAAAGGAGTCTAATCCCGGTGGGGTTTGAGCATCTGAATTCCTTAGTCTCCTTGGCAAACCCTGGCCCACATTACTGTATTAAAGAACGAGGGTTAGGGTGTTGACACTTGTCCCATTAAACTGCGAGGGTCTTTCTCCACAGGAACATCATGTCCAATTTGACTTATTTTTTTTTAATTTAAAAAAAAAAAGCAAACCAAAACTTCACTGCAAAATGCAGTGCTGGCTTTTTTTCTTACTGGTTTTGAGAACTCGTGTCCAGAAACCCTATTGTATGGATTTTCCTTTGGCCCTCCCATTGCACCAGCTGTTGAGATGCACTATGCTTGATTGCAGATTGTGTTCTAACGTTTATTTTGTTGTTGTTTTTTGGTTTTTTTGGTATACAGTTGTTGCCTTTATTTGTAAAATCCTGTTATATATATTATATAAATATATTAAAAGGTAAAACGTTTCAGATGTCTATTATTTGTATAACTACTTGAGCATAAAGAAGTGAGAAATATGAATGTATTCTTGTTTCTGGGTTGTCTTTTTTTTTTTTGAAGAGAAGAATTTTTTGTTTTTCTCTAGGGAGAGGTACAGTGTTTATATTTTGGAGCCTTCTTCAAGGTGGGATATTGTACATATTTTTATCTTGAGTAAATGTTAAGTAGTTGTTTAAAAATACTTAATAAAATAATTCTTTTCCTGTGGAAGATAAGGGTTTGCCTCCTGTGCTCTTAAATATTTGAGCAGGGTCATTTTGTACGGTGCGGTGCCGCAGCCGGTGGCGAGCAGAGCAGCGTGCAGGGCGGAGCGGGGCTCTCCTCGCTCCCCCGGCAGCTTCTGTGCCACCAGTGCCCGAAGGCAGCTCAGGGTCCCGTTACCCGTGTCCCCGGGTTACTTATTTATTTTAACTCCCTGGGCGCCTTCGGGGATTTTGCTCCTTCCCGGTCCAAGTAAGGTGCCAGGAGAGCCCGGCTGGCTTTTCTGCTCGCTTCTGATTTCGCTTCGTGCTCTCTGGGCCTGGCTTTTTGGCTCATCTGCCCCAAGCGCAGCAGGGAGGAGGAGGAGGCAGCCCCTTGCCGCGGAAGATGCGTCTTCTCCGCAGGCTTTGCCCATTATCTAGAGGCGAAATGGGCTTTCTACGAACGGGGGCTTCGCTTTGCCAGCGTCCCTCGGCCCTGCATCACGGCCTCGCGAAGGCACTGCCTCCCCTCGAGGGGCGTGCGAGGCGTGGGGTGGCTCCTCGCACGACGTCTGTCCCGGCTGGCCGGGGACGCCCTTCTCAGCCCACCCCGCCTCTGCCGGGGCAAGCCCCGGCTGC